ATTTGACTGGTGCGCTACTAGCTGGGATCCTGCCGTATCCAAATTTGTTCCTGACTATAGTAGACCATATTTGAATGGTTCTGATCTGCTTTAAAGCCGTTTTGAAAACTGCTCCCACTCACGAGGATTAATATCGTCCCCTTCCTCGTTATTTACCATCTCATCCACTTCCATTTTTATGCACGAAGCCCATTGATCGAGGTAACTTGTGGTGCATTGTAGATACTCACCATCGAAAGTGATTTCAATTTTCTTTTAACGTACTTTAAGAATGCACTCAGAAAATAGAGATACCTAAATTACACCATTTTTTTTGGGTAAAAATATATAAGCATTTTTTAGGTAATTTGGTTTTTTGGGTCTAATTTCCAACTACTCTTTTACAAATTACTTATTTTTAATACTCTAAGCTTTCCAATTTGTTCTTTATTTTCATTTCTTAAAAAAATAAATATATTTTAAAGATTTTATAACATTAATTCGAAGAGATCAATTTAAATCTAAGAAACGAAAATTAAATAAATGGGTATTGAAATTTCTAAACTAATATAGTTTACCAGGGTTGTTGCTTGTATATCTTCATCTGCGTCGACAAGAGCAGTTAGCTGACTAACTTTCCTTGCTCGGCGTTCTCTTAACACGTAGCCATCTCCGCCTCTTTTACCTATTGAAACTATCAGCAATGCCCTAATAATAGTCCGCGCACCTTCGGGACTGGTTGACAATATAAGCTGTCCGATTCCGAATAAATAAAGCCGTTACACAAGTTTTATTCCGTTTCTTAAAAAGTCGTCCCAATTTTCCATGTAGTGAGCGACGTCGATGCGAGTGTATGATCCTGGCATTGTTTGTCATGCAAGGATCTGCATACGCTTCAACAGTGGTGAAGGTCGTTAATGCTTGACAACAAGCCAACAGCAAAGCCCTCGAAAAATCGCACACCTGCATAAATCATAATAATCCCATTAATATTTGGGTTTCCTTATCAACAACAAAGGAAGGAAATTTGTTTTTTGGTATATTCAAGCATTTAATATAACTTTTATATATAATTATATATATAAAAACTTTTTTTAAAATTTAACAAAAAAACATACATAAACAAAAAAAGTTCTATATCTGCCATACTTTAATATTCGGTATTTTTTTAAAGTCGTGCCACAGGGTTTGGCAATTCCAAATGGCCAAAAATTGGCGCAATTAATGTGTTTCGCCGAAAAGCCAACATCTGACAGACAGCAGTAAACAAGCCGTAAACATTAAGTTTTATCCACGAATTTAAAATGATTTGCAAAAGCAAGAACTCGTCCTTTGAGCAGCTAAAACTTGTGCTCCATTTGCATCTAGAGGGCAAGACTTACAAGGAAACTGCAGAAATCTTGGAAATGAAGCCAAATACGGTCGGTGACATCTTCCGGAGATTCAACCAAAAAAATTGACTGATCGCGAAGAAGCTGAATTAGTCAGAAAGGTCAAGAAAAATCCTCGACTTAGTGCTACCGAATTAAAGGCCGAACTCTTTGCCGACCACGGGAAGACCGTTTCAGCGCAAACCGTTCGTCGTACACTCATAAAGTTACTTTTCAAAATACTAGAAAAATCGAATTAAATAAGAAATCGGCCTATAATTAGGAAAAATCGCCTTAAATATGGGGAAAATCGCCATAGGAAATGTTTTTTGGGGTTCATTTTTTTAAAATGCCAAATTTTTTCTACTATTTAAGGCGAATTTTTCCGAGCATAATATTTTCTCATATTTAGGGAAAAATCGACATATTTCGTGGAACAACGTCACCCATAATCGCCGTTGAAACATGAAAATCGACTTTGAAATTTGGAAATCGGTAGGCTAGCGGTCTAATGCGTTGAACTTTCAAAATCATGTAAATGGCGTGAGTTCGAGCCCACGAAGAGTCAAAAATTATTTTTCTTTTTTGTGCAAGTTTTAAGAATTGGATTTTTAAACAACTTTTGTGTGCAAAAGCAAAAAAAAAATTAGAACGCGTTAAAAATAATCAAAAAATTTTATAGTACACTAAATGATCAGATTTTAAATGCTTTTAGTTTAACTGGTTGGTGATTAGTAAGAATATCTCTAAGACCCTAACAAATTGGGATATGAACCGTTTTTGCGCGTCGCCTATCGCGATGTGTCTGAGGTGCAGCGGTAGTGTTCTCGACTGCGGACCAAGCGGTCGTGAGTTCAATTCTCGCAGCGACCACGAAGATTTGTCTCAAATAGTAAGTTGTTCGATTTTTATGTTTATTTCCCTGATTCTGCTTAATAACTTATTTTCAGCTCTAATGATTCTAATTAGCAGTTTACCAACGGCCGAATAATAACCTTGCTTGCCTTCTCACCCTCTCAAATTATACACTAATAGAAATTTTACTATAAAATCGCCCTAAAAACAAGGAAAATCGCCCTAAAACGAGGGTCAATGGCGACTGTGTGGTTGGACATGTTTGCTGGTTCTCGGCAAACATTATCTGCGGTACTTTTTCCAGGTTTTTTTTTGGATTATTTGACTTATTGTCCTTTTTTTACTGTAATTTGAGAGGGTGGCAAGGCAAGGTTATTATTTGGCCGCTCCTCGCATGTTGGTAAACTGCTAATTAGAGTCATATGAACTGAAAGTAGTCATTAAACAGAATCAGGTCGAAAGCACCACCGCTGCACCAAAGACGCATCGCGCTAGGCGACGCGCAAAAAGGGTTCATATCTCAATATGTTCTAAGAACAAATTCTCAATTTAATTCTAAGAAATATTCTCACTAATGACAGCAAATTATGTTTTATTTTACCCAATTAAACTAAATACACTAAAAAACAAGGAAGAACGCTATAGTCGGGTACCTCGACTATCAGATACCCGTTACTTAGCTAATGGGACCAAAGGGAAATGGAGATATGCAAGCAGCAAAGCGAGATTAAACTTGCGCTGCGTAAGAAGCTCAGGAATCTGCACGCCAAATCTCAATAGCCTAGCTCTTTTTATTTCCGAGATCTCACCGTTCATCCGGACGGACAGACAGACGGGCATGGCTAGATCGACTCGGCTAGTGATCCTGATCAAGAATATATATACTTTATGGGGTCGCAAACGCTTCCTTCTGCCTGTTACATACTTTCCGACGAATCTAGTATACCCTTTTACTCTACGAGTAACGGGTATAAATATTATTTTAATGTACTATAAATTATCAAACAAAAACACATCTTAAAGCGCTCTTAACAAAAATTTCTGATATCATCAAGTGTGACGAAAAATGATATTACATTCGATAAAATAAATAAACTATATTAAATTTATGTATTCGTCACGCTACAGCAGAAAATTTACGTGTAGGTAAATTAATATTTACTGTTGCGGGCCGAATACATAAATTTAATATAGTTTATTTATTTTATCGAATGTAATATCATTTTTCGTCACAATTGTTGATATCAGAAATTTTTGTTAAGAGCGCTTTCGCCACCACTTTTTACCTCGTTAAGAGGTGTTTTTGTTTGATTATAATATTATTATTATCTTTGGTGTTTTTTAACATATAACCTACTAAGCTTAGAATTACCATTTTTTAATTCGTTTTGAATTTCGAACTAAATTTAATCAAAATCGGACGACTATAGCATATAGCTGCCATAGGAACGATCGGAAAGTTGGTGGGAAAATAATATGAAACAAATTATAGCTTCGGTGTTTTTTAACATATAACCTCCTACGCTTGGAAATACTATTTTTTAATTAGTTCTGAATTTTGAATTTAATTTTATCAAAATCGGTCGACTATATCATATAGCTGCCATAGGAACGAGCGGAAAATTGGTGGGAAAATAATATGAAACAAACTATAGCTTCGGTGTTTTCTGACATATATACTATTGGGAATATCATTTTTTGTATTTTTAAATTTAACAAATATAACTGCAAGGGTATACAAGCTTCGTTTTGCCGAAGTTAACTTCCTTTCTTGTTTTTTCCTTACTATTAACTTTATGCTGAAAAATAATATATTACATGTTTCTGCTTCCAAAAAAATTTGACAACTGGTCACCGCATTTGGAAAGTTCAACAGAAACTATTTGCGTTCGCTACCTCAATTGTTGAGTTTTCTGTTGAATTTTCAACCATTCAGAAATTTAACAGTTAAGCGAATGGCCAGAACATCCCATCCCATCCCATCGATATGGTGTATCCCAGTTTGTGATCCAGCCCTGTATTTTTGGAGACCCTAAGAAAAAGAAGAGTGGACAAGAGAAGAGGATGGTTACGATTTTCTTCGTAAATGTGTAGACGTTTTCTCTTATACGGCTAAATCTCCAGCTATGCAGCTACTTCCTATAAAGCTGCAAAAACATAGATGGTAGCCCCATTGATAGTTTTCATAGTTTGAGGATTAAACATCGATACTATCGCGACAATACCGCTTATATCTGAACAATAGGGGTCAAAACCAATATAATAGGTTAATTCCTGCAGAACATTATCTAACGAAAATGGTGCTATTATGAAAAGTATTTTATATCAATAATTATAATTATAAACGCAATAAGTATACTTATTGTGGAGGATCGACCTACGGGTGGACATCGACATCGACTTTAATTTATATTTCATTTTTCAACACGTAAAATGTGCGTACCTTCGTTCTTCTTTGAAACCCAAGTGATGGGAGCTGTATGTAATACTATCGGGATAGTCTGAGTAACATCGATGGGGGGTCACCGGGGCCCAACCATCGATGTTATCGCTGGTTTTCCAGCTCTACTTCCTAGCAAAGCTACTGAAAGAAAAAGTGACTTGCAAAAATTTATAAAACATCCCAGTTTGCTGAAAATAGCTAGCTTCTTGTTGAAACTCGAGTCTAGTTTTTGGCACACATACCAAAAAACTAGCTTCCAGACGTGTTCGCAAATTCGGGTCTAGTTTTCGGCACACATACCAAAAAACTAGCTTCTAGACGTGCTCGCAGTTCGCCAACAAGAAGTACTTAAAAAATGGCTGAGCAAAAGATCGAGAGCCCCGTCTTCGAGAAGGTTCCAGTCAAGGAGGCGGCACCTGAGAAGCCAACCGCCGACAAGGAGAACGGAGCACCGGCCGCCGACAGCGGGGCACTTTCCGGTGCCGTCGATGGTGAAAAGGCGACCGCCGAGGCCGCTGACAAGGAGGAGGAGTCCGCCGCCGATGGCGAGGAGGCCAAGAACAAGAGCATCGAAGCAGCTCCAGCTGATGTTGAGAGCGGCGAGGAGGCCGCCATCGGTGCCTCACCAGATGCTCCTGCCGTCGGGCCCGTGAAGCGGAAGGTGGACGTGGCCGCCGCCAAAGCCGATGAGGCCGGTGCCACGCCGGAAAAGAAAAGTAAGCTGGAGGAGGAATGCACAAGGGACTAGGTGCAGAACGGCGCCTAGATCTACTTAATAATATATACTAACACAACAATCACTCGCAAATCACACAAACACACAAAGACACTCAGCGGACTCTACCCAACCACCTTTCCAACGATCGATCCTGCAAAGGGGAGCGCAGTCTTGTAGCGCACCGATCTGTTCTTCTTATCTTTACTAACACACCAACAACCGACCAGGACACCAACAACAACAAACGAGAAACAACAACAATCCATTGTCATTAAAAAACCCTACTTAAAAACAAAATTTTAATGCATACATCACTTTGGGCGGGATACTAAGAAAACCCAGGTTTATTAGACTAGTTGTGTTCTTACTGAAAGAACGCGTCGAATGACTCCTCATTCGATGCTCCTTTCAAAAGTTATTCCGAAAACAAGATTTTGGGGAACTTTTCAAAATAAAGTTTATTTATTTACAAAACAACAGGGATAGGCAGCCATAGCTGGCTTAAAGTCAATGTTTTCAGTTTCCTATTCTGTTCTTAATTAATAATTGTATAATTCATTTAATTTTGGTATTCGATTCTTAAATACTAAGTGTATAATTCAAGTACATTCAGGTGTCTTATAGTACTATCTTAATTATAAGAGGCTTAATATTAAGGATTTTGAAAACTTGAAGAAGGTTGGAAGTAGTGGGATTGGAAGGAAGTGTGGTAACGTTTTCATTCGGGATATGGACTCGGATGTTATCAAATGCAGCGCATACGTTAAGAATATGCTCAATTGACATTAAAGTGTGGTTACAGAACTTACAGGCTTTGTTTGTAGCCTGAAAATTCTATATTCATGGGTGAGTCTGGTGTGGCCCAGACGTATCTTTTCTTGGTAGTTTGGTTATTTCTCTTGCTTCAGTGTAGTTGCTTATATTCAGAAGGCTACTGTTTATGGGTTGGTACCAACTGGAGGAGTATTGAAAAAGATTGAGAGAGATGTTATAAAAATGACTTTTAAAGAATCTGTTTGTATCAAACTAGTTAATATCATGTGAGGTGAACAGAGGTGCGATAGTTGCGTTTTTTGCGGCTTCATCGGCAAATTCGTTGCCGCTAATTCCAACATGGTTCGGAACCCACATGACTTTGATTTTGGGGTAAGCGGTATTTATTATACCACGAATTTTCGTAGGATGTTGCTTATCGATGTTTTTAAGCGAGTGAATTCAGAAAGAGAGTCCGAGTAGGAGCAGATCTTTCCCTTAATAGTACGACCCATCACGACTTCCACGATAATGACGATAATTTCTGCAGTATAAACTGACGTGTAATTTGGAAGAATGCCTTTTTTTTAGAACATTGTCCTTTGTGAATATGACATAGACAGTTGTGTCTTGGTTTTTTGGTTGGTAAGATTTGCTTTAATGTCCAGAAATTTATTCTAAGTATTGGCTCAAATGTGTGTCTATAGTATCTGATTGTAAGTGCCAAGACTAAGATTTCGGTAAGATTTTTATTGGGCTGTAAGGGAGAAATAGGTTTGCCCAGGACGTAGTATTTTTGTGTAGGACTGAGATTCTGTATTGTGGGTTTTCTTATTTTTTATTTTTTCCTTTAATGAATTTAGAGGGGTGTCTGATGATTGGGCTACAGTGCTAGAACATTTTGGCTTGGAGGTGATGTGTTCTAATGTGGGTGGTAGGTTCTAAGTATAAGTTGATGGCGTGTGCTGGCAAATGGCACCCAGTGCCAAATGGAGTGCACTATTGAAAAGGATTTGGATCGGTATGATTTGCAATTTTTGAGCTAAACCATATCAAACAAAAACACCTCTTAACGAGGTAAAATGTACTCGGCCCGCAACAGTAAATATTTATTTACCTACACGTAAATTTTCTGCTGTAGCGTGACGAATACATAAATTTAATATAGTTTATTTATTTTATCGAATGTAATATCATTTTTCGTCACAATTGATGATATCAGAAATTTTTGTTAAGAGCGCTTTCGCCACTACTTTTTACCTCATTAAGAGGTGTTTTTGTTTGATATCAGAAGTTTTTTTTGCACAAGAGTTTAAGTACCCCAATACCATGACTAGGAGTCGTCCCCATGTGGCTTGGCTATTGAAAAACCAAACACACACTTTCACGTTCCACTTCGGCTTAACTTTATTCTAATAAGGTATGGGTTGTTTACATTCACATTTTAATAAGAATGAAACATATAATATGAATATTAAACTTTTTAATAACAAGTTTTATCGCTTCAATTACCTATTTTAATAGCACAAGTTTGGAATCTCAAGGGTTGTATAGTTTCAGATTCCAAGAGAAATCTGTCGTTTCTTACATTTCCCGCTGAACTAGCGGGTTTTTCCAAAGTGGTAGAACAAATAGATCAAGTTTCCTATTTCGATTCGCTTCATGCAAGTAAAGGACCCTAAAGCCATAACAGATTTTCCGTTTGAAAAAATCTAATAAGAATATTGTTCATTAAATTGGTTTTTTTTTCTTGTTTATTCCAATAAGTATGAAATATTACGTATACGGAGCTGAAACGAGTTGCACTTTTTATCGCTTAATATCTTCCAAACGGTAATTTGTAGGGTAAAAACTGTCATATATCAAAAGTTAAGAAATCTCAAGGGCTACATGATATAAAATGTAAAAAGAAATCATTCGACTCAATTTTGAGAAAATAGTCAAAAAGTGGTTTTAAAAAATAACTTTTTATCATATCTCTAAATCTATTATATTCAGACACTTTTACTATATTGAAAGTATTTAGTAAATTAAATTATCTTTTCAGAGATATATAGCACGTTTCTGTAGCACTAGTTGTTTAGCTACTATAAGCATTTAAATCTGGCCTTTTTATACCCGTTACTCGTAGAGTAAAAGGGTATACTAGATTCGTCGGAAAGTATGTAACAGGCAGAAGGAAGCGTTTCCGACCCCATAAAGTATATATATTCTTGATCAGGATCACTAGCCGAGTCGATCTAGCCATGTCCGTCTGTCTGTCTGTCCGTCTGTCCGTCTGTCCGGATGAACGCTGAGATCTCGGAAACTATGAGAGCTAGGCTATTGAGATTTGGCGTGCAGATTCCTGAGCTTCTTACGCAGCGCAAGTTTGTTTCAGTAGACTGCCACGCCCACTCTAACGCCCACAAACCGCCCAAAACTGTGGCTCCTACAGTTTTGATGCTAGATAGAAAATTTTAACTGAAATGTGATGTTCTCATCAATACCTATCGATTGACCCAAAAAAAGTTTGCCACGCCCACTTTAACGCCCACAAACCGCAAAAACCTGTGACGCCCACAATTTTCATGCTAGATAAAAAATTTTAACTGAAATGTATTGGTCTCGTCAATACCTATCGATTGATCCAAAAAAAAATTTGCCACGCCCACTCTAACGCCCATAACGCTTAAATCTGTATACCGCCGGTAGGTGTCGCATTTTAATCTCGCTTTGCTGCTTGCATATCTCCATTTAGCTGAGTAACGGGTATCTGATAGTCGAGGTACTCGACTATAGCGTTCTCCCTTGTTTTTTTTGCTTTTCCGCTAAACTAGCGTAGAACAAACGTTTCTTATTTCAAGCTTCTTTATACACCCATAGGGTTTCCAAGGCCCTAAAACTAAGATGGGATCACTAACCGAGTCGATCTAGCCGTCTGTCCGTCTGTCTGTCCGTCCGGATGAACGCTGAGATCTCGGAAACTATGGGAGCTAGGCTATTGAGATTTGGCGTGCAGATTCCTGAGTTTCTTACGCAGCTCAAGTTTGTTTCAGCAGAGTGCCACGCCCACTCTAACGCCCACAAACCGCCCCTGTGGCTCCTACAGTTTTGATGCTAGAATAAAAATTTTAACTGAAATGTATTGTTCTCATCAATACCTATCGATTGACAAAAAAAAAGTTTGCCACGCCCACTTTAACGCCCACAAACCGCGAAAACCTGTGACGCCCACAATTTTCATGATAGATAAAAAATTTTAACTGAAATGTATTGGTCTCGTCAATACCTATCTATTGATCCAAAAAATTTGCCACTCCCACTCTAACGCCCACAACGCTTAATTCTGTATACCGCCGGTAGGTGGCGCATTTTAATCTCGCTTTGCAGCTTGCATATCTCTATTTAGCTGAGTAACGGGTATCTGATAGTCGAGGTACTCGACTATAGCGTTCTTCCTTGTTGTTTATTATTTCTCCGTGCTCTACAATTTTTTTTTGCCTATGCACACAAATCTGTTCAAGAATTTAATTCTAAAAACTTGCACAAAAAAAGAAAAATAAATGTAAACTCTTCGTGGGCCCGAACTCACGCCATTTAGATGAGTTTGAAAGTTCAACGCCTTAGACCGCTAGGCCACCGATTTTCAAATTTTAATGGCGATTTTCTAGTTTCAAGGGAGGTTTTGGATGATTTTTTGTTCTACGAAATATGGCGATTTGCCTTAAATATGAGAAAATATTAAAAGCATATGATCAGAAAAATTCGCATTAAATAATAGAAATAACTTGCGTTTTAAAAAAAATTAACCCTAAAACATATTTTCTATGTCGATTTTTTCTATATTTAGGGCGATTTTTTTAATGTTAGGGCGATTTCATAATTTAATTTATAAATAATTTGATGAGTGTAGCTGACAAGAAAGAAAGTTAACTTCGGCAAGCCGAAGTTTGTACATTATTTATTATAATTATAATTATTTATTTATAACTATTAAATTTCTTTTCTTCATTTTCTTTCTAGCACTAGCACTGTAGGAGCCACTGATTTGGGCGATTTGTGGCCAAGGTATATTTGCGTGACAAATAAAGCTGCGTACAAAGCTAAGGAATGTAAGTCTGAAATCACAACTCTGTAACTTCTATAGTTTCTAAGATATCAGCGATCATATGGTTGATTTTTTAAAATTTTGTGGGCGCGAGTGCAAAATTTCAGTTAAATTTGTTGTCTACCTCTAAAACTGTGTGAGACAAAGTTTTGGGCGGTTTATAGGCGTTAGAGTGGGAGTGAAAGCTAAGGAATCTAAATCTGTATTCTCAACTCTCTAGCTTTTATATTTCCCGAGATCACAGCGTTCACACGAACAGACGAGCATGGCTAGATCGACTCGGCTAATGTTGTTGATCAAGAATATGTATATTTTATGGGGTCGGAGACGCTTTCTTCACAAAAATACGTAAGCGATAAGTTAACATTGATGTGATGTGCCTGAATTTCAGTTTGGTAAATTTAACCTGA